CGGCTGAGGGGGTGGCGGACGCGTGAGGGCCACGGCGGGTCCTCGGGCAGCAGCGGGGGCCGGAGGAGGCCCAGCCCCGCAGGTCAGGCGGCACCGGGCACACCGGGCCAGGGGCTACCGCAGCACTTCCCCAGCGGGCAAGTATCCCGAAAAAGAACCTGGAACTCTAGGCAACTAAGATGGCGACTCACTTAGAGAGAAAGGACTGTTTTTCCTCAGGGACCTCAGGAGAGCGCGCAGAGAGGTAAAATCGGCGCCGCAGCCAGGCCGGCGTCGACCCGCTCCACTTCAGCCGCGGAGCTCGGAGCAGCCGGCTAGAGCCAGGCGAGGATGCCGCTGGGGCGGGGCAACACGACGTGCTCACCACAGGAACCAATCGGCGCCCAGCAAGTGGCTCGATGGGGCGGGGCCTAGCCCCAAAGGGGCGGAGCTGGACGCCAGTGGGCGGAGAAAGGGAGTTAGCGGGGCACTGCGCGTGTAGACCGTAACAGCCAATCGGAAGCAGCCAGTGGCCGGCCTGGGACCAGGGGGAGTAGGAGGGCGGGGTGAGGTTGAGGACTCAGCCAGCCTTCTGGAGCAGTGGTCCAGACTTAGCGCCTAATGGTTTGTGGCAGTGTAGACCAGGTTAGTACTGGATCGTAAAAGAGGTGTCAGAAAACAACGCAACAAATTCTGACAGACTAGCTCAAAGCCCTTTGCTGGCTTGAAATTCGACTAAATAAGTCTCTTTCTATAAAAGGAATTTGCTCTCCTAACATGCAGAATCTATACCATAGTTTTCATTTCATTAATCAAAAATATTTTTAAAGCCATTTATTTGGTCAGACAAAAGATATAGTTATTACTACTATTAGGTGCTTATACAACACTAGACTACTGAGTAATCATTAAATTAACTTTATTAACCTCTTAACTTTATTAATATAGACATTTATGCATGTGGTAGAACTGAGTTGTTTGCTTATTTTCTCATTCATTGAAATATTCAATAGGAAACAAGTCTCATTACCCAATATTGAAAATGGTTTCACTGGTGTTTGTAGCAACGTAATTAGGCCTCTTATATCTAATTCGTTTTAAACAAAAATCATAATCATAGGTTTCTAACATGTTTTAAATCTGTAATTATTTTTAAAGCTGTATTTCCTGTCACAATTTTACAGAAATACATCACCATCACTTTTTAAAATCACATGTTAATATCCCCATTGTCTTAAATAGAAAGGCTCTAAATATCCTCTTGAAGATGTAGGTTTATTTAACTATGACACACTTTTCAAAATAATGGGTCTAAAAAATCAGAATGTTTGGAATATTAGGCTTCTGAGTGGCATTTATCTCCTAGCACTCTGGAAACAAAATCAGCTTCTCCTTTTAAAGTGCCCCATTCTTTGGCAAAAGCAACAATGTAGCCTCCCCTGTGGGAGGCCTCTCCCCAAAATATCCAGTCTCTGAAAGTGAACAAGACCCAACATGAAGCTCATGAATTATTAATTTCTGGTCAGTTGTCAAAGAGGTAAACACACAAAACTCAGACAGCTTGCCCTAAGACTGCAAATCAGGTCCCTAAGACAAGAAGTAAGGATTTTTCACATTGCTAACAAAACCTTTGGGAGAGGTCTGTTTTCAGACACAGGGAGACCTAAGATAACTGTATAGAAATGGCATTTCAATCTATAATCAGAGAAATTCAAAGTGAATTTTTACATTTGCATTGAGCTTAAAGAATTTTGCCCCTCTGGAAAGTGAGGAAAAATATATAAACCCTTTAAAGTGAATTCTCTAAATGACTACGTTGTATGAATGATTCTGTAGCCAATAAATCATGGAGTTAGGAAAAAGTACAACTTGGATGTTCAGTGTTTTCTTCATTCAGTACCTACAGAGACCACCTTTACAATAAGGAATAGTCAATCCTGATAAAGAAATTTCCTGATTTCAGTATTCCTCCATGTAGTGTGTGGCCCAAAAGTTTTGAGCTTTAGTAAGATCAGGAATTTACAAGCATCAAACTTGTACAAAGCATGTGTCATCTGGAGGTGCAGTTGGCTATATTTCACTATAACTTCAGTGTTTCGATGATACATACTTTGTATTTAAGTACTTGTTTGAAAATGGCAAGCAATGGCTGCTTTTATTAAAGCTTAAAACTATACTAAGCCTTATATAATACTCTGTATGATTCCTATGTGTGAGTCATAGTTCTTGACCATTCCACCCAGAGACTTAACATTTAAACCCTGGAATGGATTATTTCTTAAGTGGTTTCTCTTCTTTTCTGGATATATCCTCAGAGAAAAGCTGTCGAAGACTTCTCTGACTCCATTTCTTATAGTTTCCCCACACATCATCAAGGATACAATTATTTCATGAAAAGTAAAAAGACACAACATTCTCAAATTCTTGGGGCACAGCAATAACTTTCAGGCTCAATGGGGGAAGTCAGCACAACTGAAGGCAGTCTTGTGGCCATGAGCATCAAAATAGTCAGATTTTAATAAATTTCCAGAGATTCCACCAGTTTAAAACCCTTGCCTGGCTTCCAGTTGGTTTTCCTTCTCCTGGATTCTTGTCATTGGAGATTTTATCAGTGACTTCTTTTGTTTCTATAAAGGTCTCATACATCTTCTGGGCTCTGATAATTTCTTTCTGTGCATCAAAATGGACTTTTTGCCTGGTAAGGATGGGAACTATTAAATTAAAATCATTGATTCGCTTGTTGAGTTTTCTGATGTTTTCTTGGAACTGCTCACAGACCTGCTTCCACTGCTGCTGTTCCATTGCTGTCATTGGATTCCCAAGCTTTTTCCTTGATACTAAAATTGCTTCTCTGAGTTTCTCAATGGTATCTGTTATTTCTTTTTGCATTAAGATCCACTCGGGTTGGTACCCATTATCTATCAATATTCTGTTCAAGTTGTGAGTCATGGGATCAATATATGAACAGCCAGAAAACTTTTTTAGAGGTTTTCCTTTCCCACTGAGATTGTCAAAATCTCCTTTTGCCATTGATTCTTGAATAAGGTCCTCCACTAAACGCTCGATGGCTTGAGTGATCTTCTGTTCTCTACTGTGTCTTACATCTTGAACAGTTAAGCTACTAGTGAAATGCTGCCTTTGCAGTTTCTGCTTTCGATACTCCATCACTTGCTCAGCAGCACGGTCTGCCCTAAATTGCCTATACTGCTTCTCTCGTTGACTTGGGGTCCCAAAGCCAATACCTTCAAAACTTAAATAATGTCGGTGTTGGGGTGTATTGTATTTGAAATTTTCTTCCTCTTGTTCTGCTTCTTCAACTTTGTTCCGTCTGGCATTTGCTTCTTCAATCACATGGGAAAGCACATTCCTATAAGCTTCTTCAATCTTTATAAATGCTGCAGAATCAGCATTAGTAGAGCCGCTGTCTGGATGATATTGCTTGGCAAGCTGATGAAAAGATTCCCGGACGTCGTCTGCAGAGCAGCCTTCATTTAGATTCAGCAGCTTGTAATATTCCCTGATTTCCTTTTTGGATTTATGGGTAGACATCATCCTGTTTCTAACGACACTAAGGTACGGTAGCATTCTCACTAGAGTAGGAATCAATGAAGCACTCGTCAAATGGGATCTTAAGACCTGAGCCATCATCACATGCATTGAGTTTTTTAGCATATCCAGAGTTCTTCCTAACGATCTATGAAACAACAAATGATATAGGTTAGCAAGGTTGCACTATTAGCAGAGTTGTATTTTCAGCTATAAGAAAGGAAGTCTTGGGCTGGGAAGGTGGCTCAGTGGTAGAGCGCTTGCCTTGCATGCATGAGGCTTTGGGTTCGATTCCTCAGCACCACATAAGTGGAAAGAAAAAAAAAGCCGGAAGTGGTGCTGTGGCTCAAGTGGTAGAGTGCCCGCCTTCAGCTGAAGAGCTGAGGGACAGCGCCCAGGCCCAGAGTTCAGGCCCCACGACAGGACCCCAAAAAAAAGAATAAAAAAAAAAGAAATGGACTCATTACCTTCCTTATGTAACTGTAAACTCTCCCTCCCTTGTTCATCACCTTTACAATTAAAAAAATAAACATAAATAAATATGTGGCTAGGTAAAGAAGGAGACTGAACGGGCCTGAATATGGTAGGAGTACTTTATATGCATGTTTGAAAATAGAACAACGAGAACTGCTCTAATTGTTTTAAGAAGGAAAAGGGTGAAGAAGGGAAAGAGAAGAGGTGAGGTTGAGGGATACACTATATGTATGTTTGAAAATATTACAATGAAGCCCTCCTTGTATAGCTAATGCATACTAATAATAATGTATATAAATAAGCACATATATATTCTCTCCATAGAGAGGAACACACACACACACACACAAAAAAGGAAGTCTTATAGGGGTTGGGAATGTGGCTTAGTGGTAGAGTGCTTGCCTAGCATGCATGAAGCCCTCAGCACCACATAAACAGAAAAAGCTGGAAGTAGCACTATGGATCAAGTGGTAGAGCACTAGCCTTGAGCAAAAGAAGCTAAAGGACAGTGCCCATGCCCTGAGTTCAAGCCCCAGGACTGGCAAAAAAAAAAGGGGGGGGGACGTAGGGCCTGGCAGTGGTGGGTGGCTCATGCCTGTAATCCTGAGGTGGCTCCTCAGGAGGCTGAGACTTGAGGATTGCTTTCAAAGCCAGCCTGGATAGGGAAGTCCATGAAATTTTTTTTTTTTTTGTGGTCGGTCGTGGGGCTTGAACTCTGGACTTGGGCGCTGTCCCTCAGCTCTTCAGATCAAGGCTAGCGCACTACCGTTTGAGCCACAGTGCCACTTCCGGTTTTCTAGTGGTTTGTATTGGAGATGAGTCTCACAGACTTTCTTACCGGGGCTGGCTTTGAACCATGATCCTCAGATCTCGGCCAGAGCTAGGATTACAGGCGTGAGCCACAGGCGCCCGGCCCATGAAATTCTTATTTCCAATTACTGTGGCTCAAGTGGTAGAGAAATAGCAAAAAAAAAAAAAAAAAAAAAAAAAAGCTCAGGTATAGTGCCCAGGCTTTGAGTTCAGGCCAAGGACTAACACAAAAAACAAACAAACAAAAAAGTAGGGTATGAAGTTTCAAATACAATATGGGACAGTTTGTTCTACTGCTGCTATCACAATTTTTCTAGCTATATTTTACTGTAGCTGGAGAATGAATGTTGATGATGGTCAGCATCAATACATTGTGACTTAATCTGGATTCTACTTACTGACCACAGAATTTTAGAGCTTCAAAGTTCTTAGAAATTCCAATTGAAATTATATCATTATATGAGAAAACATAGGTCTAATTAGGGTTAATCAACTTAGTCAAGCCTCATAATAAGGTATAAGCAAAATATTTAGGATATAATACAGAGGCTTGCTTAATTTTATCCTCAGCAGGCTATACATTTAATCAGCACCAATTTTAAGTGTACCTTGTCATATTTTCGAGAATTTTCTCACAAAAAGACTTACTATACATGAAACAGAGAACATTAGAAAGAATGTTTGTACTTGGTACTAGATTGAAATAGTATCCAAAACAGTTTTTAGGAAGGAGCTATGTGCTAGGTGCAAGGAAAACCAAAACGAAAGGTTAGCAAACTCCCCACCCCAACCACAAATGTTCACTGGTATATTAAAGATGCTTGGTGCAATAGTGGAGAAAGACTTGTACACGGACAATGACGATGAAATACGGGAAACGGCTTAACTGTACTGAGGTTACATGTAAACACGAAAACAGAGCTCCTGGGAGCCCTTATTTGATGAGCAATTGCAGTCGTGGATTTTAGACTGCTGGATGGAGATAGTTATGTCTACAGGTGTGATTAGAAGAGGTGTCACTCCAGCTCTGGGACACGTCCCACCTGGACTCCTCACTCACCTTCACCTTCAGGGCCCAGGGGCTCAGGGCGCCCACCCCCAGGCGCATGCGCGCCACCTCGGTCTTGTGGCTCGGCGTAGCTGCAGCCCAGTTCCCTGCTTGTCTAACCCTAAGCCGCTCTACAACGAGGAGTGTCTAGGGGAGACGGAAAATAGAATCCACACTTGTCTGTGACAGATGACTTGGCTTACCATTACAAGTGGTCATCTCCCTTACATAACTTCACCCAAGAAGACACAGTCGGACAGCTCAGGAGGCTCGGGTCCGGCCCGGGAGCCATCAGCCCCGCCCCCAGCCCCCTCCCTGAGCGGAGGTGGTTCGGAAGATTGGGATTGTGGGAGTTGTAGTTCCCGGAAGGCGCCGTGGCAGCAGGCCTCCAGGGTATCTAGCGTGGCTGCTGGAATGCGTGAGGCTTGGCAACCGGTGTCCAGGCCTGGGGCGACGTGTGCAGGGTTTGCAGGATGAGCGGGGAGCCGGTGTCTTTGTGATTCGGAGGGTCGCTTGTTCAGGAGTAGGGAAGATTAGGCCGTTTGTCCCAACTGGATTTAAACAGTCCCTTCCGGGTCTGCAGGTGGAAACACCTGCGCTGAGACCTGAGCGATCTTCGCCCAAGTCGCCATGCTGCTTAAGAAACTAACCCAGACGTACTGAGCAGGTCTTTGGTAAAGCTAGTACTTGAGCCACAGCGCCACTGCTGGCTTTTTTCTTTTTGCTTATGTGGCGCTGAGGAATCGAACCGAGGTCCTTGTGCATGCAAGGCAAGCGCTCTACCGCTGAGCCACCTTCCCAGCCCTGTTCCTTTCTTATTAAATGTTGCAGCTTATGAGAATGTAAGGGTTACAGCAAAAATAGTGCTCATGTGCTTTAAACCAAGCCCTTCATTAATGTTTGTCTGTGAAATTTTGGCTGTTCCACGCCTCATTTCTCTGATCTATCCTGTCACAGAGCAATTTTTTTTTTTTTGTGCTGTTACTGGGGCTTGAACTTAGGACCTAGGTGCTATCCCTTAGTTTTTACACTGGAGGCTGGTGCTCTACCACTTGAACTGCTGGAGGTACAGCTAGATTTTTTTTTTTTTTGCTAGTTACTTGGAAATAAAGAGTCATGCTTGGTCTGGGAATGTGGCTTAGTAGTAAAATGCTTGCCTAGCATACATGAAGCTCTGGGTTTGATTCTTCAGTACCACATAAACAGAAAAAGCTTGACACTGTGGCTCAAGTGTTAGTGCTAGCCTTGAGCAAAAGAAGCACAGGGACAGTGCCCACCAGGACTGCCTTCCCCCCCAAAAAAAGTAAAAACAAAAACTTAAAATAACCATAATTTTCTGCCCAGGCTGGCTTACAATCATGATCCTCAGATCTCAGCTTCCTAAACAGCTAGATTACAAGCATGAGCCACTGGTGCCTGTCATTTTTAAAGAAAAAGCAACTTGTGAATTTTGAGACCTGGGTTGACTATTTTCTTTCTAGTACTTTTTAAGTACCTCAAAGATATTTCTCTATGCTTATCTGTAAAATGAGGACACCAACAAATAATAGAGGTGCATTTAGCATTTACTCTTTGCCATGCACTATGCTAAGTTCTTTATGTGTACCCTCTTTATCCTTACGACCATATGAGATACTATCATTTCCCCCATTTCATATAGGAAAATAATCATTGCATCAAGCTGATTTATTCTTGTGAGAATTATGCAATGTTTGTAAACCACTTGGCACAGAGACTGGTACATTAAGCAACAAAAAGGACCTATTAGGCTGGGAATGTGGTTTAGTGGTACAGTGCTTGCATGGCTGTGGCTCAAGTCTCAAGTGGTAGCCTTGAGCAAAAGAAGCTCAGGGACAGTGTCCAGGGCCTGAGTTCAAGCCCAAGGACTGGCAAAAAAAAAAAAAAAAAAAAAAAGATTTATCTTTAAAATAGTAAATAACCACTTTGTTCCTATGTTCTGTGTGTGTGTGTGTGCGCACACGCGCGTGTGCCAGGGCTGGGGCTTGAACTCAGAGGGCTCAGGTATTATCCCTTAGCTTTTTCACTCAAGGCTGGTGCTCTATTACTTCAAACACAGCTCTACTTCTAGCTTTTTGCTGGTTAATTGGAGATAAGTGTCTCATGGGTTTTCCATAAAAACATAAATAGTAAGCTAAAATCTGACTATCTTAGAAGCTACCAACAGAGGAATGTTTAATGATACTAAATGGGAGTTATTAAGAAATCTTATGGCTGGGAAGGTGGCTCAGTGGTAGAGCGCTTGCCTTGCATGCATGAGGCCCTGGGTTCGATTCCTCAGCACCACAGAGCAAAAAGAAAAAAAGCCAGAAGTGGCGCTGTGGCTCAGGTGGTAGAGTGCTAGCCTTGAGCTGAAGAGCTGAGGGACAACGCCCAGGCCCAGAGTTCAGGCTCCATGACTGGACCTCCCCAAGAAAAAGAAATATTATGGCAGCCAAGTATGGTTCAGATAACTGGAAAAGTCTCAGCTCAAACCAATACAGATACCATGAGGAAGATATATTTATTTGACCCTGATTCAGGTTAGGGTACTTTTTTTTTTCTTTTTGTTGGTCATGGGGCTTGGGTGCTGTCCTTGCACTCTTCAGCTCAGGACAAGTGCTCTACCTCTTGAGCCACAGTGCCACTTCTGGTTTTCTAGTGGTTTATTGGAGATGAATCTCTCAGACTTCCCTGCCTAGGCTGGCTTTGAACCATGATCCTCAGATCTTAGCCTCCTAAGTAGCTAGGATTACAGGTGTGTGCCACCGGCACCCGGCTGGTTAGGCTACTGTTATACATTGATCTCCCCCGCCCCCCCATTCCTGGGGCTTGAACTCAGGGCCTGAGCACTGTCCTTGAGCTTCTTCTAGCACTTTACCACTTGAGCCACAATGCCACTCAGAACTTTTCTTTTTATGTGGTGCTAAGGAATCGAACTCAGAGCTTTGTGCATGCTAGGCAAGCACTCTACTGCTAAGCCACATTCCCAGCCCTACTTTTTTTTTTCTTTTTGTTGGTCATGGGGCTTGAACTCTGGGCCTGAGTGTTGTTCCTCAGCTCTTCAGCTCAAGGCGAGTGCTCTACCACTTGAGCTACAGTGCTACTTCCAGTTTTCTGGTGGTTTATTGGAGATAAGAGTTTCACGGACTTTCCTGCCCGGGCTGGCTTTGAACCACGATCCTCAGATCTCACTCAGCCTCCTGAGTAGCTAGGATTACAGGCCTGAGCCTCTGGTGCCCAGCTCCAGCCTTACCTTTATACATTGAGAGTATACAAAAATATGAATAAAACCCAGGTGATATCATCGGTACCCCATCATGATTTCTTGCCCCACTGTAAGACAAACGTATTCCATGTTTTTCATTGAAGGTAAGAGAATTTATAAAGATGAGGGTGATGTTGGTCAGAAAAAGTCTGAATGACCAAGATCTCTTGTTAGGCTGTGAGTCAACTGAATTCTGAATGACTGGTTTGATTATAAACAGGAACGGTCCTAAAGAGAATTAGAAAGACTGTGAGAAATGTCTTAGCTATGCTACAGTCTTGTTTTTATAATGGTAAGGATGAGGTCATTTTTATTAGTAGCTTTTCATCTTTTGCTAATAAATCCATGATAAAAAGGCAACAAGCATACAGCCACAGTTCCTTCACAACTGGCTTCAACCCTCAGCCAGGGGGCTTCATTCCTCTTGGATCCAGCAGATCTTGCCATTTTTTCCAAGCTGTACAGTTCCGCTGGCCACCAGCTGGAGGGCTGCAGGAAATATTTTGTGTTCTGCTAATTTTACTCTTTCAGACAAAGTTTCAATAGTGTCACCCCTCTTCACTGGAACAGCTTCTTGTAAAATGATCTGTCCAGCATCTACATCTTCCTGGAAAAGGAGGTCAAAGTTTCAAGCTTTACTTTCCAGCCAGTGTAGTTTACATCTAAGCATTAATAGTGATATTTTGGCAAGAAAAGACATACTTACAGCTACAAAGTGTACTGTGCACCCAGTAATTGTGACTCCAGCTTCCAGAACTTGCTCATGAGCATTTGCACCCTTAAATGAAGGGAGCAAAGATGGGTGGATGTTCAGCATTTTCCCTAGAAATTAAAACAAAAAACAAAAAACCCATACTGTTGAGAATTCTAAAATCTTGTTTTTCTTTTTTTGGGGTCGATCGTGGGGCTTAAACTTTGGCCTAGGCACTGTCCCTGAGCTCTTCAGCTCAAGGCCTGCGCTCTACCACTTTGAGGAACAGCACCACTTCCAGTTTTCTGGTGGTTAATTGGAGATAAGAGTCTCATGGACTTTCCTGCCTGGGCTGGCTTTGAACTGTGAATCTCAAATCTCAGCCTTCTGAGTAGCTAGGATTACAGGTATGGGCCACCAGTGCCTGACTGAGTTTTTTTTTTTTTTCCTGTTAAAAAGTTATATTCCTATCGAAATCCAAGTCAATAGGATTTGGATTTCTGGGAAAGGCATTTTTACCAAACACAGAATGAAGTACTTGTCCAAGTAGGGGTAAGTAGCTGCTTTGATAAGCCAATCGAATGCTAGGGAAGCTAGATATCCAGAGTGGTGAGACTGAGGAGGGGAGGAGTGGTGGGAGACTGTCTATGCTGTACAGAAGGACTCTGGAAGAGTTAAGCTTGTTGTTGACACATACTGTTAAGGGGCAGGAGGGGCTGGGACATTGGCTCAGTGGTGGAGCGCTTGTCTAGCATGCCTGAGGCCATGGGTTTGATTCCTTGGTACCACATAAACAAAAATAAATAATAATTAAAAAAAGAAGAGGTGAGAGGTTCTTGTGTACTGCCTATGAACTTGACTTCTAACTACAAATTCTGTAGTAGTTAGTTCTGTGTGCCCATGGCCAACGGAATCATCTCTTATACTACTACAAGTACTCCAATTATCACTACAAGTACTCTAATTACCTTTGCCTAAACAAACATAAACTCCTTGGACTGAAAATGCACTTATTGCCCACTGTTCATAAAAATGGAAGAGGATGAGGTCAAAGCTTTTAAGGAAAAAGGGAAGACTACAAGACAGTATGTTTTCTAGCATCTTCTGGCAATGGGCTAATGCATCCTAGAGAGGATGATTGTTCATTCTGGTACACAGAACCACTTTTTGCTTCTCAACAAATGAAAGGAGCTTGTAAATAACTGTTTGGAAGATGGAATACCATTTTTCAGTAATGTGAAACAAAACTAGGTTACATTAGAAAGTGACTAATTACAGAAAGTTAAAACTGACAGAGAATAGGTTAATGAATCATTATCATGCCATTCTTTGGATTAGAGCAAAGGCAATTAAATATGACCTCGGTTAAAGCAAAACATCACAATAAATATTTCATTACTGAGACTGTGCCAAGCTGACCATTCTAGAGTCTATTTTCTATTCATTTCCCTATTTGTGATATCAAAAAGCTTTGCTTACCATCCCATTTTCTGACAAACGGGCCAGAGAGAATTCTCATGAATCCTGCAAGACAGACTATGTCTGTGGAAAACTCTTCAAGGACTTGGTCAACTGCATTGTCAAAATCTACACGACTTTTGTATAATTTATGATTTATTACCTGTAATAGAAAAAAGACAAGCATAGCCTTTTTTCAAGAAACTCTCAAAAAAAGTTAAAAATACAACTTTCATATAAACCAGACTTCACCACCTTTTGATGGAAATGACAGAGAATGGCAGGAGCAGCTTTTGAGGGAGATGATAGCGAATGGGCAGGATGGAGAGGGTAGGCCAAAGAGCATCCACCCAACATGTAAGCATGCAAAAACTTTTCTGGTAGACCCGTGGCAGCAGATTATGAGTTAAGTACATCCTGAAAAGGTTGGAGGTTTAGCTCAATGGTATTCCTGAGGGTTAAATCCTCAACCCAATACAAAGACAAACCACATCAGCCTATTTTCCCAAGTGACTTACTTTGGTGGGAATACCAGCTCTCTCTGCCTTGCTCAACCCAGCCACTTGGGCTTTGTTGGAGATTACAACAACAATGTGTGCAGAGCTCTTTGGATCCAGAGTACTGTCTATGAGTGCTTGGAGGTTCGATCCTGAAAAGGCAGGAAGAAACCAAGTGAAATCATCCTTCTGGAAAAGTATGCTGGGTGACGGTGGCTCACACCTACAATTTTAGCTACTCAGGAGACTGGGATCTGGAGGATCTGGTTCAAGACCAGCCCAGGCAGTAAAGTCCCTTAGACTTTTAATAACCAGCAGAAAGGCATGTTGGAGGCATGATGGCTCAAGTGGTAGAGCATTAATTAGCCTAGCAAGGAGAGATCCCTTAGTCATCTAACAAGAGGGAAGGGAGATGAAAGAGAAAGAAAGAGAGAGAAAGAAAGAGAAAGAAAGATGCAATTTTGAATGGCGGGGGGGGGGTATCAAGCTTTCTGAATTGTTTAGGAAAAACATTGGCAATATAGTTAATAGGCTTTTAACTTTCTGTTGGGATACTGGATTAGTAATTTGTCATTCCTGGTTCTAGTGTCTGTGTGTCTATCTATGTATCTATCTATCTAAAATTGCTCCTGCAAAATAACATGATCTAGCATTCCAGTAGAAACAGTGTCTAAAAGTGAAGGATGATGATGAGGATAAGCTGCTTAATCACAGAAAAAAAAATCTTCTGAAGAATAATAAATTATTCTGGATCATATAAGGGTTTCTTTGCTATACCATTAACTTGGATGTAAATACACCAAAACTGTACAGTCAGTCATATGTAAAACAATTGTACCTTTGGGACTGTACCCTAAAGAAATAATCATACATTTATTTAAAACGTTGTACATACAACCAAAGACAATAGTTTTTGTGTCTTCTTTTTTGTCAGTTGTGGGGCTTGAACTCTGGGCTTGGGCGCTGTCCCTGAGCTCTTCAGCTCAAGGTGAGAGCTCTACTTCTTGAGCCACAGCGCCACTTCCAGTTTTCTACTGGTTTATTAGAGATAAGTCTCATGGACTTTACTGCCCAGGCTGGCTTTGAACTGAGATCCTCAGATCTCAGCCTCTAGAGTATCTAGGATTACAGGCGTGAGCCACCGGCGCCCGGCAACAATAGTTTTTAAAGACTAATAATCTAAGATACAAGAGCTGGGATTTGCATTCTAGTTACTCTTTAGCCATCTTTCTCAAATTCCTTTTTTTTTTCTTCTGTGCTTGGCACTGGGCTTGAACTCAGGGGCAGGGCACTGTCCTTTAACTTTTATGCTCAGGGCTGGTTGGTGTTCTACCACCTGAGCCATAACTCTATACTTCTGGCTTCTTGGTGGTTAACTGAAGGAAAGAGTTTCGGGACTTTCTTGCCAGGGCTAGTTTTCATCCCAATCCTTATGTCTCAGCCTCCTGACTAGTTAGGATTACAGGTGTGAGCCATTGGTACCCAGCTTTATTTCTACTTTCTACCCCACATAATGCTGACAGTATTACAACTGGTTGTGTTTTTTGTGTGTATGGAGGGTGAGGGTAGGATATGGGGGGAGGGCACAGCAGGATGCTCAATACATCCAATGGAGAAAGTCAAGCTCTCACCTGTTCCAGATATCAGGACAGCCACTCTTGCCTTCTTTGGTTGGGTGGGGAGATGATTTTTCTGAGAGCCATTCACCAACAATGACCCATTTATGTTCATGGTTTCAATAAGATTCTTGACTTTCACTTGAGGGGAACCTTCATTTCAAATACAACCATAAAGAAGTAAACAACTTAGTAAGAATAATGGGTAGAAAATACTTTATGTAAATTTTGAAGTACTGTATTTTATTCTGAAAAGAAGTAGGAAATTAAAAAACAAAAATGGGTTTATATCATTTACCATTACTCATTTATAAAACTTCCTGAGAACATATATAGTAAGTTACTTCCATTAAGAGCTGAAGACCAGGGGCTGGGAAGGTGGCTCAGTGGTAGAGCGCTTGCCTTGCATGCCTGAGGCCCTGGGTTCGATTCCTCAGCACCACATAAGCAAAAAGAAAAAAGCTGGAAGTGGCGCTGTAGCTCAAGTGGTAGAGCGCTCGCCTTGAGCTGAAGAGCTGAGGGACAGCGCCCAGGCCCAGAGTTCAAGCCCCCACGACCGACAAAAAAAACCAAACCAAAACAAAAACAAACAAAAAACGAACAAATCCTATCAGGCAGGAATTAAAGCAATATAATACTAAATAGACTACTAAGAATAGTCTGCTATATCTTAGATGCCAGCTTCGTTTCTTTTCTTTTTTTTGTTGGTTGTGGGGCCTAAACTCTGGGCCTGGGCACTGTCCCTCAGCTCTTCAGCTCAAGGCTAGCACTCTACCACTTGAGCCACAGCGCCACTTGGCCTTTTTCTGCTCATGTGGTGCTGAGGAATCGAACCAGGGCCTCATGCATGTGAGGCAAGCAATCTACCACTGAGCCACCTTCCCAGCCCAGGGATGCCAACTTTCTTCCCCAAACCTTGTGATATGGTTAATCTCATAAAAATTATTATTGGGGGCCGAGGCTGTGGCTCCAGTGGTAATGAGCCTGCTGACAAGCAGGAGTGATGGAAAATGACTTAAGCTGAAAACACCTATTTTCTCACTTGACAGCCACATCCTGAAAAATTCCAGAAGTGCCCTTGCTGCAGACCATGCTAAATCATTCCTTCACCTCTCTCCTCCCCCAACACTCCCACAGTGGTTAAGAGACAGAATCTGTGCACGGAGGGCCATATAGTTTGGTGACACAGTTTGGTGACAAGGTGCTGTAAAAACTCCTTTCCTGAAACTCGAGATGAGATTCCCATTATGTATCAAGAGCCCCTGCTCCTGTTCCCATACGACCACCATCCCCCACCCCCCCCCCAGGACTTTACTTTTCTGCCTAATAAAAGATCTTCCTTGTAAGGAAATCACACCATTCCTTCTTTAGTTGGGCTGAAGGGAATATGGTTTCCCTTTGAGGTTTCAGTCCAATAAACTTGTTGACCCAAGGGTTTGTCTTTCTGATCTTTATTTAATCCTTGGGGACTTGGACTGGCCTAGCGCTGGTGGCTCACGCCTATAATCCTAGCTACTCAGGAGGCTGAGAACTGAGGATTGGGGTTCAAAGCCAGCCTGGGCAGGAAAGTCTATGAGAATAAACCACCAGAAAACCGGAAGTGGTGCTGTGGCTCAAGTGGTAGAGCGCTGGCCTTGAGCTGAAGAGCTGAGAGACAGTGCCCAGGCCGAGTTCAAGCCCCACGACCAACAAAAATAAAAACAAACGAATCATCAGAGTAACTATAATGCAACAAATGATCCTAAATAATTCTTTCACTTCAGACAGATTTGGCTCAAATTTCAATGTTGGTCCTTAAGTCCTTTCATTTGCTCTTGAATTATTTTTCATTTCTCAGATAATTCCTCCATTTAAAACACTATTAGAAGTCAGATGGCTCATTCCTGTAATCTAAGCTACTCTGGAGGCTGAAAGCTAAGGGTCACAGTTTGAAGCTAGCAAGAGAGAAAGTCTGAGACTCTTACCTCCAATTAGTCAGCAAAACAAGCCAGAAGTGGAAGTGTGGCTCCAGTGGTAGAGTGAATAAGCTGAGGGGCAGCACCGCGCTGAGTTTAAGCCTCAGGCACACACACAATCAAGCATGGAGCTTTGTTATGAGTCAGTTAACACATTCTAAGCCAACCTCTTGTTCCCTGGGGCTCACCTGTTATCTCTGTACCCTTCATGTAGGCTCCAGGATAACCTTTACTTGCCATGACAACCGTTATGGCAGAGTGGCTTTCCAGCCAAATCGGTAGAGATGCACTCAGTCGGCCATCTAGGGTGGACTGAATCACTTCATAAAGATCACTCTGAAGAAGTGGGAGGATTACCTAACCAAAATATAAAAATAAAAAAAATGAAAACATCAATTACCATGGCAGGTGAGATAAATGTATGTTTTCCTTAACATAGTATTTACCAGAGGTCTAGCAGAGCTTGCAAATGCTTCTCAGAGACAATGATATCAAAGCTAGAAATACGGAAATCACAACAATACACACCTCCCACAAAGTCATATTTTATCGTCACACTTTACTTATTATTACCCACCTGGCACTCTGGATCACCAAAACGGCAATTAAATTCCAGAACCTTCGGGCCGCCCTTGGTCAGCATTATGCCAGCATAGAGAATTCCTTTATTTAAAAAAAAAGACAAGAAGGAAATCGGTGACAATGACATATTTTATGACTACGCAATCTAGACCATATGCTACTAATATTCAATGTTTTGGAATAACCCTAAACGTTCTAACAATGGCAAATTGAAATATGGTTGCAAAAAACCCAGAAAACAAATGTTTCATCACAAGTGTAAAAACATTGTAAATGGTGCCCAGGCCCCTGTGCTCACCTGTATATGGCGCACCCTCTTGCTGCATGCCTTCCACCACCCTCTGAAGAACAGTGTTCTTAATTTCCAGTAACAAATCCATAGGAACCTACAAACATACAGAAACATATAAATATAAGTGGAGTTAAAAAAAATCAGGTTTTAAAGTATCAGCTGGGGGCTGGGAAGGTGGCTCAGTGGTAGAGCGCTTGCCTTGCATTCATGAGGACTTGGGCTCGATTCCTCAGCACCACATAAGCAAAAAGAAAAAAGCCGGAAGTGGTACTGTGGCTCAAGTGGTAGAGTGCTAGCCTTGAGCTGAAGAGCTGAGGGACAGCACCCAGGCCCAGAGTTCAGGCCCCACGACCAGATCCCCCCCCCAAAAAAAAAGAAAAAAAGAAAAAAGAAGTATCAGCTGGAAGAATGGAAGGAACAAGAAACTTCTTTCAGTTCACCACCCCAGGACAGGCTCATGTACTTATTAAAAATGCAAACTTATTAAAAACTCATTTATCATCCTTATGACGTAACATCAAGTATTTCAGCCTTAATCTTTACAGAATAGGAATGAAATCTAAGAGCTACAATATATTCCATACAAAAGGAAAAACGTATTCCACACAAGAGAACGCGTGAAGAATCGGAGCTCTTTGCCTGTGTTGTGTTGAGCTCTCAACACCTTGCCTAACAGATGGAAATTCAGTTCTGTTTTTTTGATGGTGCTAGAGGTTGAAGTGCATCTCTTGTTTTCTAGGTGGGTGCTCTACTACTTAAGCCACACCCCAGCCTTCTGGCTTTGGTTATTTTTCGCATGGGTCTCATGCTTGGGCCAGCCTCCATTTGTTTCTCAAATAATAGCTGTGTGCTTCATGCCCGGCAATTGATTGAGATGGGTTTTACTCAGGCTGGCCAAGAACTACAATCCTCCCAATCTCTGCTTCCCAAGTAGATGGGACTACTAGTGTGTGTTAGAGGGTCTATAAAAACCTGAAGTTTTAAGTAATAAATGCTCTGAATCTGGTAAATGAACACAACCAGAAGATGAATTATGTACTTATCATAAAACAACCGATCAGCCGATCATCATTTCATGAGTAAGATAAATTGCTAAACAAACTCATTAATTTTCAAAAACATTCCCTTAAAGTAGTTCACTCTAATTTCCTGAAAAATGTTAAAAGTGAAGAAAAACCCTCTCACCTTGATGCTTTTATATCCTTCCAATATACTTTATGCTTATTTCATAAGCATATACTTGTGAATCTGTTATAAATCTGATTGTGAAATCACTCTTACCAAAGGCAGTTTCAACATACTCACAAAGCCCAATAAAAAGTAGTTTGTGGGGGTGCTCGTGGCTCCTACCTATCATTCTAGCTACTTAGGGGGTGAGATGTGAGAATGGTGTGTTGGAGCCAGACTGGGCAGGAAAGTCCATTAGATTCTTATCTCTACTTAATCACCAAAATGCCAAAGAGGAGCTGGAGCTGAACTGGAGAGTGCTTGTCTAGAGAAAAAGAAGTATAATGCTGATCCTGGGCCTTTAATTCAATGCCTGGGCGCAGTCCCTGAGCTTTTCTGTTCAAGGCTACTACTCTTCACTTGGGCCACAGCTCCACTTCCAGCTTTCTCTTAGTTGTTTTTTGTTGGTCATGGCATGGGGCTTGAACTCAGGTCCTGGGCACTGTCCCTGAGCTTTTTTGCTTGAGGCTACTGCTCTACCACTTTACAGTGACACTTCCAGTTTTCTGGTGGTTCATTGGAGATAAGTCTTATAGACTTTCCTGCCCAGGGTTGGTTTTGAATTGTGATCCTCAGATTTCAGCCTCCTGAATAGCTAGGATTATAGGCGTAAGTCACCAGTATCTAGCCATTTTTAATATTATAATCAAGAACAATATCTAAAGGTGCTATATTAGCACAATTATGACCATCAGCAATGAAAAAAAAAAGGATGTTTCTGCAGTAGTAATATACTCATACTCCAAGATGCAGCTATTTATAAACACTGCCCAGAAATGGTTTGAAAACATTATCCAACAGTCATAAGTAGACAGTAACTTGGTCTCAATTAATATCTACCTCCCTTGTCCCATCCCCACTTTAAGTGCTGAGGCCCTGGAAATCCAAGCAGAGAAAGACAGTTTTAAAGTGTGTTTAAAATTGAATATAGAGGGGAGATGAGAGGATCTATTTGATTCTTACCATATTTCTTTTTTTTTTTTTTTTGGGTCCGGTCGTGGGCCTGAACTCTGGGTCTGGGCGCTGTCCCTCAGCTCTTGAGCTCAAGGCTAGCGCTCTACCACTTGAGCCACAGCGCCACTTCCGGCTTTTTTCTTTTTGCTTATGTGGTGCTGAGGAATTGAACCCAGGACCTC